TAAACATGTTGCTTTTAACATAATTATTCTTCTCATAATAAAATAGTTTATGCTAACAAAGTCCTAAAAATATTTAAGAAATGTAATGTTTAAATATAGATCTTCGATAGCATTACTAGTATAGATAGTGAGCCTTCCAAGTTGCAATGCAATATTTGCTTTTGTTTTACATATCTCGATCAAATTTGTCAACAATTACATAAATGAGCAAGTTAGAAAATAATTATTGATAATGGATTAAGACATGTGAACTCATGAGGATTTTAAAAGTAAAATCGTATTTACTCCACATATTTTCTTCGTTATGAAAAAGTGAAATCTTCATGAATACGACAACTTTGTTAACATCATTATGACTCTTCAATACAAAATATTAATACAAAATTTTCAAAATGTCTCATAACTTCACTTTTTCAAAAATTAATATTAACATTAAAGACCTTGTTACTTTTGACAAGTTCATTTTCTTAAAAAATTTATGAAGTCATGAAATTATCATAATTAGCGCTTGAAGTTGTCAATCCACACAACTTAACCTACAATAAGTAATTATTGTCTGACTTATTCATTTTCATAAATTTTGGATAAATTTGACCTAGATATGTAAATAACCTACCATATTCAGAATAAAAATAAAACTTGAACTTAAAATCTAATTTAACCTCAAAAATTTATTTTTTATTATTTTTTTTTTTTTTTTTATTTGTTTTAAATGATCATTATCTTTATCTTTAGTTTATATAAGAATTATAACACATCGACATGAAATTTAATATTAATGAATGGTTTGACAGTGTCATTTTAAAATTATTTGAAGTTGTTCTCATTTATGAGAGAAGGTATTAGGGAATAAAATAGACCTTGAAACGAAGAGAGTAAATAAGCATGCATAACTTGAATTTATATACACTAAGGTAGTCAAAATATCTTGGCATACCTATCTACATTACATAGTGATCATGGCAAATCATATACAGTTTTTCATGTACTTGACTTACAAAGAATGAGACAAACAATAGTCCACGAACGTCCATCTACAGAAGCAACACTAGCAATACTCATACACAACATAGTCCAGTAATCTACTTCTTGAAACCCTAAAACACGAGCAAATCATTCTTGATATCGTACCCCATCTTCTCCAAGTTGGGCTGCACCGCGAACTGAATCATGGGTGGTGGTCCACAAGTCAAAGCCAAGGAATCCCTTGAAGCTTCTGGAAGATGCTCCCTCATGATAGTTTCTGTGATGAATCCCACACTGTATTCCCACCCTTCCTTCGCGGTTTCCACAACGTACCACACCCTGAACCGCTCACTGTGTTCCTTCGCCCATGCATCCAACTCCTCCCTCAGAAGAATGTCATCCTCTGTGCGGTTTGCATACACCACATGCATTTCGGTGAGGTCCTCTGGGTCTTTCAGAATCGCTTGCGCCACTTGGTAGATTGGTGTGATCCCGGTTCCACCAGCCAGCATGGCTAACCTCTTTGCGGATCTAGGTTTCCCATGAACCGTGAAGTTGCCTCTGCCGGTGTACTCTATGTGACCCACTGGACCCTTCACGTCCAACATGGACCCAATGGAGAGAGACTCCAAATGCTGTGACATAAGTCCTCCGTTCGGGAACTTGGGGTGCACTCCTTTGAAGTAAACCTTGACGAGCAAATCGAAGAACCCCACTTCATCCACGCCACTTGTCGGAGTGTAGGCTCGCATGCATAGCTTTCCATCTATGGTGGCGCACAAGAAAATATGCTTACCCACTGGTAAACCCACGAGTTGGTTCTCTTAGGGCAGTGCGAAACGGAAAAGCCTCACGTCGTGGGAAATGGAGGTCTTTGACACGAGTTTGCATGGGATTTTCTCACGTGGGTTGAGAGCCACACTACGTGGTGGTAGTGGTGGTTTTGTGGTGATTTCCTTGATGGGAGCCAAATGGGTGAATTCTGAATTGCCATGCACGGAGTTGTTCGGCGATGAGTCTGAAGTGTAACCTACTCATGCAAAATTAACAAACCTATTAGAATCAGGGTAGTGCAAGGATAAAATTTCAGATTTTTACTTTATTGTGATTGCAAAAACATGCTTTACATTTCAAATAAATTGACATACACATGAGATTTACCACATTTTATGTATATTACCTGTAGTGATGAGCTCGCCAATTCGATAATCTTCGAGCATCTTCTTTGCTTTGTCAGAGTGGATGGCGTCAAACTCTTCGGTGCAGTCAGTGCCGGCATTGATGAGGATGCTGTCGGTGCCACCAGGGTGATCTTTGAGGAAGCGAGTGCAGTCGTAGACGTGACCGTGGACGATTATCCAAGCGGAGTCAGGGATGCTATGTTTTTTAACTTCGGAGATGGAGAACATTTTTGAATTGGTGTTCATGAATGGCGAAGACACACTCTTTTTGAGGCTTGGTTTGGTGTCTTGTGATGTCTCCAAGTGCTTTTCCTTGGCCATCCATCCACCAGGTTGGTTCCCTGGTTGGGTTGGGTGTTCGAACACCATTCCAATCTCACCCTTGTGGGGCTTGCACACATTTGTCTTCACTCTGAACCAACAGTTGTTCATCATTCCCTACACATCATTGCATACCCAAAAAACACCTTCATTACACTTCCTTTACTTGTTTCAGTAATCAACAAGGGGTTTGTACCAATAAAGTGACTTAAAATATTTTAAATTTCTCCTTTTGTCAATTCAATTTGTTTTCTACCATATAATGATATATATTATGAATAAAAAGAAACATATTATTGTTTAACACTCTAATAATGTTTGATGTGTTTTAACTTAATTAATACGATATTAGTAAAATTGATGCAGATAATAAAATATACTTAAATTAAAATATTTAAATTTTTAGATGTTTGATTTAAAAAAGTACTAAGTACTTAAAATGAAAATTATCATATATGAGTACTTATAAAACTTATTTAAAGAAAACAAAAAAAAAGATCCCTCAGATCAAATATATATATATATATATATTGACTCAAAATCCAAATTCAGCGTTGATAAGCCAGGGTTTAGAATATTAATGGCTAACTATTTTGCACTCAATAATAATAAAGAAAAAAAACATGAAAATGACATGTGATGACGTCAACTGAGGTGCTCATCGATTTTAATTTCCAAGTTTAGAGGAACAAATGGTAATTTGCCAATTATTATGCAGTCGTAAGCACCATCTCACTTGTCCTTTTCTTTGTAACAATGAGTATATATGATATAAAAATGGTATTAAAATAAATAAAAGTAACAAGAAGTCATCATATAATATCCAGCATTGATTATTCAACAAGGTAAAAGAGAAACCAAAGAGATGTTGAGAAGTTTGATGGAGATGAAAAATACGTACCATAAGATTCCAAATTAGGTTTTCTGGCTGCGTGTTGAGACCTTCATCCCAAGCTCGAACTGCAATCTCTTTGGTCCCCAGCAGGTCCAACACCTCCACCTCCAAAGACCAGAAGCACCAGCACCAATACTTCCCATATTTGTTAGGTTTCTCAGGATGGTCCAGTGTGCACACGTGCCACGTTTCTCCACCATCCAGTGTTACCTCCACACGTGTCACTTTCCTCCCACCACCTGCACGTACAACCATACTCTCTCACTTCACAGCTACCAATAACACTTTTCTTTCTTCCAACTTGAAAGAGATCCCAAACATATTATCGTACTGTTTCACACTTGTAATTATTATGAAAAATATACTCTTTCACTCTATCACTTCCCTTATGTTATGTTACTGTACTCAGGAACATGAATGAAAAACAGCAAAACTTACCAGAATAAGCGTAGCCTCTGACTACGTAAGGCCTCTGCGTTGTCCATGAGTTGATGGGCAAAATCTCGTCGTGACACGGAGTCGTTATCACTGAGTTTATATTCAACTCGTTGATTATGTACTCTGGTCTGTACCACCAACCTTCACGGATA